GTTAGTCCTTTTATAAATCTAAACCTAAATCTGATATTGTTTCCAACAAATTCCTAGTCAAAAGTAAAACGATGATGATCTAAACTATGTGAGTGTTTGCCCCACATGTAAATTCAAAGTAATCAAATAAAACAGTGTAGGAGAATTAATTTTCACAAATAACAAATCATTCAAATTCTGTTATCTAAAATTACTGAAATATGTTGTTGAAAGTAGGTTGCTCTCTGATTGGTTAAAAAAGTAAGATTTCAATTAAAAAAGGTTCGGTGTTGGTTGGTGCCAACAGGTTTGAAACACCGTTTAAAGTGTTTTTTTGTTGTTGTTGTTGTTGTTGTTTAATTAGCTAGCCTGCGTAGCTGGTCCACTTGGAGAGAAAGGAAAGCGGGTTAGGGTTAGGGTTTTTTCTTTCCTCTCCTCCCCAGGCCCCTTAAAACAAGAAACAATACAAAGGTCTTTTCCAGACAAGAATGAACTTGTTATCAGTCAATTTTTCTTCTCTTGAACAACTCAAAACTTAAAGGGACACTGTCAATGGCACGCATGCGCGAGTAAACTTGAAAAGATTAGGCTAATGTTTTTCAAGTTTACGACTCCAAGTTGGCGCGACGCATGACAAAAAAGTACTCGTAAACGTAAACAGATCTAGAATATTCCAAAGTGTGTCAAAACAGTGATTTACCTCTAAGGTAATACTTTCAAAGTCCGTTATAGGCCATATTGTTACTGCGCATGTCATCCATTGACAGTGTCCCTTTAACTGATCAGATCTTTCAAGTATTTATGTTTTGCCTAACCCTCGTGTTATTTCAATTCCTTTAAAGTGCACATGAAGCATTTTAGAAAATCATTTAAAAAAAAGCAAATATGATGCTAATCATTGTTTTGAAGAAAAAATAAGTTTTTTGAATTTTATTTTCTTAGGGAGGGGAGGCCTTATTAAATATACGAACTTTGGAAGAGTCGCTCAAAAGTGTTTTCATGAACGTCAACTGGAAATATAATTGCTCCCTACATTGCCTACGATAAATTTAATGCCATGAAACCATTTTTAAGTGACTCCTTCAAAGTTAATATATTTAATGAAGCCTCCCTTGACGTCACATCAGTGGCATTTTCAATTTTTAAATGCCTTTAACTCAGAAAATAAAATTCAAAAAAGCTTTTTTCTTCAAAACAATGATTTGCATCACATTTGCCTTTTGATTAAAAAATAATTTTCTAAAATGGTTCTTGCKCACTTTTAAAAAGTTCGAAAAGCTTTTCTTTCACCGATATTTTTAAAATAATATAATAGCCTAGTGTAATCTTGTTTCTAAAATCTTCAGCAACAGCCTTTGATACTAATATCAATATCAAGTTCTTCATTTTAAGAAGAAAATTCCCAATGCAATATTATAGCACTTACCACTAGAAACTGAGCTCACCATCACAGTCCACACACCCAAACAAACCAGCGCAAAAGTTCTCATGTTGTTTTAGAGACGGTATCGATGTGTCTGTTGACCAACATGGAATAATCACTACCTCGGATTGATCCTTGCTTTATCCTAATTACCAGGTCAGGTCGCCAGGGTTCTCGAAGTGCCGTAAAATCATTCAATTAGCTGTCTTCTAATATCATCACAAGCATCCCGGCCAAGTGCAATTATAAAACTCATAGCTAACAAACATATCAATTTATTTTGANTACATTTGTGGACAGTTCATTGAAGAGTAAAAGAGTGAAAATCTGAATTTTTAAATAACTTAAATATCAAGTCTCTCAGCTTTTTAAAATGCATAGGACTTAAATTAAAACATCCGAGTAGTTCTGTGTCAAAAAAGATTAAAGTATAAAGTAGATTGCACACACAATTCACACGTATTTTCATTGTCAACAAAATGTTTTGAAGTCAGGTGAAGATTTTCAAACTCAAAACCAAATTTAAAATTGCTTGTGTTTCCTAAAGTAGTAGAATTGATATTTGAGCATCAAAAGACGCTTGACAGCTCCCATACTTAATAGTCATAATCTAACATACCGACACGGTATCGTCGGAGAATATGTCAACTCTCCTCTGTGAAATTCTCCCTCAATAATCGTTGTCTTTGGCGTTCATTTTCTCGATTTTCTTCAGCCATGTTTCGTCTTTACTCGCGTTTTCTCTCCCTTTCAAGCCTGCGTTGTTCTTCACTAAGACCTCTTCGACGTTCTCTTTCTCTTCTTCTTGTCTTTTCTTGTTCCGTTAAAAAGCGTACGCGTTGTTTTTCCGACATTTTTGGAGCAAAAGTAAAGAAACAAACGTCGTTGAGGTGAAAAAAGTTGTTTCAAAAGTTGACGCGAGCGCGCTTCCTTTTCCCGCCTTGTCAAAAGCTAGCCAATCAGAATCGCGATGTACACGGACGTACGTACGTACGTATGTATGTACGGAAGGACAACTGGGCTTCCTGTGTCGGTTGATCAAAACTCAGCTCATGGGTTTACCATTTTTCCTTAGTTATGGTGCTCCGCTCGCGCGGGCCTTCGGCCCGCGCGGGAGCTCCGCTATTATTATTAAGTTCTAATTAGATCCTCAAGATAACTTCAATTTTCCTCAAAATATATACACATTTTAAACTTTTCGGATGAGACATTTTGAATTGGAATTCACATCTTCAAACGACAGACAAGAGGCCGACATCCCTTTTGATGATATTTATGATGTATCAAATTTGACGTGTTTGGCGATGAAAGCAGGATAGGTGGTGCAGCGAATTTCAATAATCACACAGACTGTCCCCCAGCTTTTTCGTGAGATGCATAGTATTTGACATTATGCTATACAAACATTAACTTGAATTAGTGACAAATTCTCCAAAATCACGGATAAGAACAAACAAAAAAACAAAACAACAACAATATGCATTATGAGAGTGTAAAGTCTTTAACTTTACCGTTTATACATTGGGTTTATGAAATATAAACCAGTTATAATACCTGATTTACATCCGTAGAGCTCAATTCTCATCGAAGGCCAACCATTCATACCAGTTTTTGGGAGGACTCTAATATATCTCGCTTTGACTGGAGGTTCAAGGTCATGCTTCACAACAGTAATCTTATCAGTGTTTCCTTTGAAGACAAAACCTGCTTTGTAATCCTCGAAGGTGCTGCCATCCGAACTGTACTGCAGGCTGTAGCTTTTCATCCACTCTGAATTGTACTTTGAACCTTGTGTTGCGATGGCATCTACAGTGTGAACTGTGCTCAGGTCGACCTGTAACCAAGGATCGACTGCATCGACTGCAAGTATCCTTGTCTTGGGGGTCCAGCCATAACTATCCGTGTTCAATCTTGCTTTCCA